ATAAGCAGGAAGGCAGCAAATGCTGGGAGTAGGTGGAGGATGAAACAGAGATGGGGTCATCCATAATGACACTGGCGTCTGCAGGACCCCGCAGCCCTATCCTCCAGCTCCACCTTACTCCAGCCAGAGCTCTCTGAGCCTTAGTTTCTTTGTCTGGAAATGAGCACCATTTGTCTCTATTTTGTCAGAGGGTCATTATGAAGTTAATTGACAGAATGTGTGTAAAAGGGCTTTGCAAACTATAAAGTGCTGACCAAAGTGCTGAGGGAGATGTTTAAGGAGGAGGCAAGACAGCATGAATCTCTGAACATCAGCGGAGTGCCTGCTATGTTCCAGAGCCACACTAGGTTCCGAGGAGGACAGAGATGGATAAGTCAGTGGCTCCAGGAAGGCATTCACTTGTGTGTCAGGATCCCGTTCTGAATATTCATCAGTGACCATTTTTCTTCCTGGAATTTCCTTTTCCCCCTTTGCCCTTCTCCCCATTTGAGCAGCTAGGCCAGTCTGTGCTATACCCCAAGAGAGGAATATGATAGCAGATAGCAGAGGGGAACTATCTCTCCCTGGCTTATGAATTTCAAGAGCCAGAGCCCTTGAAGAACGGAAAGGACTTATAACCTTTCCATTGGATAAAAAATGTGGGATGGAACATTTTGAGTAAGTGTAATCCCTCCCCCTCCCCCTCTGCTGCCAAACTAGTTAGAGGATACCCATGGGTCCCAGAGAAAAGGACTCTGAGCCAGGGGAGGTGGCAAAAGCCCAGGCATATTTGTGGCATTGCAAGCAAAGGCGTCCTGCCCCAGGGAGGCAGCAAAATGTCACAGAGAGGAATACGCATGGAATGCATGGGCAGGCAGAGTCACAGAAGGCTTCTAAGGTTCCGCACACCTCAGCAGGCACCGAAGCAGAGGAAATGATCTCTATGAGTGGCTCAGAGAGAAGGGAGACCAGAACAGGCCCACGATGGAGATGGGGGTGTCTCCATGGCTACTTGTAGCAGCAGAGAACCCAGGACCAGTTGGGGAAGTGGACAGGTTAGCAGACCCTTGAGAACTGATCATGGATAATCACCCCCAGGGACTCCTGAGGAAAGAGGTGAAGGCATATTCCAAACTGACAGACGTTCAGTTCCTATCCCTCACTTGGAACAATGAAATTGAAATACAAACTTTATTTTCCATAAGTTGAGTTATGGAAAATAAAGTTACTTTTCTCTGATGCAGAAGTTTGTGGGCTGGGACACCTGTATGGGGGTTAGTTAGAAGCACACAGGTGAGGCTCTGCAGGGCAGCACCAGGGATGCAGGCATAGGGCTGTGGGAAGTCAAAGGAGGGGGAGCTGGTGGGAGACAGGCACCAAGGTCAGCACGATTTATAGCACTGCCAGAATTACTCCTCACACCCATTTCACGGGTCGGTACTGTGGTGATCCCCACTTAGAGATGAGAAGTGAAGCGACTCACACAGGGAGGAAATTGGACTGGAATTCCAACCTGGGTCTGTCTGTGGCCAGCAGGAACTGGCACATCGTGCAGGAGAGAGGGCTGTGTGGACAAGTCCTCCAGGCAGGACACGGGAGAAACATGTATTAGGAAGTATTTTCATCCTTCTAGGATCCATTCACCTCTCCGGTGACAGGATTTTCTGTTCCTTTTGGGCACCCCTCCCTACTCTTAGCCCATGTGGTCCCGTGGTGTCTGACCCACTTCAGGGGTGGGAGACCACAGCATCCCCTGGGCCCAGGGATGGGCACATGACCTGAGCTAGGCCCATCAAAGGCCTCTAGAGACTTGGCTGGAAATATGGGCAAACTCTTCTGAGATTGGGGATGCTGAGGCCCTCCCTGTCAGTCAGCCTCCAGTGTTATCTTTGCATCCATGGAGAAAGCCCACCTAAGGTGAGGAAGCCATTGCTACAGCTCAGACTAAGTGCTGAGAACATGAGCTTCATTTCTCTACCACGCCTGCTTCAGGAAGTACGTGAAGAGCCTTGCATAGAAGACGTGATACAATAAAGATATCAAAGAGCTGGAGGAACTCAAAATCCCAAACATGGAGAAAGTAAGGGAGGATTTAATGATTGAGACTGAGTTCCTGACAGCCAAGACAAAAGTGGAAATAGGATATGGTAGGTCATTTCCATTACCTGCTAGAAGGAATTCAATCATTTCTTCAAGAGAAACAAATCTGAGTCTGAGTGAAGGTGGACACAAGGGGAACCAAGACGGCCCTGCTCAGCTCCTGCCAAAGGAAGACTTCGCAGTGTCCGACATCTCGAGGAGGAAGCTGCCAGGGCCATGAACCAGCCCCATCGCAGCAGGGCATCCTGCTTTTGATTTATCATGAAGACTGTGGCCCCTGCTGTCATGCCTCCATGTCCTCTCCCCTGTGTAGTCCGCACGAAGGCCTCTGCATCCACACCCACCTCCCCTGTCGATCTCCCACCTGCCAGGCCAAATCGAGCCTCCAGCTGTGAGGACCCACCTCTCCACCTGGGCCCTGGACCCCTCCTTCCCCGTGCCCAGGGGACCTTGCTCCACCGGTCATCTCCACCTCGTCGCTCTTCCCCTTCTTTCTACAAACTCCCTGCCTCAGCTCATAAACACAGTCAAAATGTCTCCCTTCACAAACTCACCCCCTTCCTTGACACTGCCACAGCCTTCCTTTAATATTCCCGCCCAGTTCTCATTAAAAAATTTCTCACAAGAGCTGTCTAGACTTACTGTCTACACTGCCTCTCCTCCTGTTCTCCATCCAGCTTTTGCAAGTCCACCCTAAGTCACCATGACTTCCTTGTCCCTAAATCCCACGGACACTGCTCCATCCTTGGCCTGCTGGCCCCCTTACCGCAGAGATGCTGGTGACCTTCCCCTGCTTCTTGAAACCCTTTGCTCCCTGGGCTTCTGCACTGACTCTGCTCCTGGTGTCCTGCTGCTGCCCCCACCTGCACGCCTTCTCAGGCTGTCTCAGGACTCCTCTTCCTCTCTAATTCCTTCTGCGTGGCTGGTCCCCAGGCCTCCATCCGCGAACCACCTCTCAGTTCGATCTCCCCGCACCCCTGGGAAACCTCATCTCCTCCCGGAGGGCCTGGCAGCGGTTACCTCCAACACACTGTCCGAAACAACTCGCCATCCCCCTCCCTGCTGAGATCCCCTCCTCCACCCCTGGTCCCTGGCTCTGGCGGGCAGTATCACCCCGTGGTCCGAGCGGAACCCTGAGGCATCCTGGATTCCAGGGCCTCCTTCATCCTGCACAGGTGATCAGCTCCCAAGTCTGGCTGGTGTGGCTTCTCGAAGATTTCTCAGATCCACCCCACTTCCATCCTCCAGCACTTCATCTTCTCCCATATGGAACGTGGTCCTGAACATCTCCTTCTCCCGTCTTTCCCGCCTGCCTCTTCTGGGTTTCCACGACGTGAATCCAAACTTGACACTTCCCGGTTTAAATCCGTCAATGGCGCCCTCTGGCCTTGGAGGTAAAATCCAAGTTTCTCCAACTCCCTCCCAATACCTGGCCCCTTCTCATCCCTCCAGCCTCATCCTCTGGCACTCCCGTTCTAGAACTTTACCCTCCAGCCACACTTGAATGTTTATCAGCTGCCTGCCCACATACTGCAGGTTTTCACCTTTGCTCGTGTGTTCCTCTGCCTTCTCACTCCTATTGTCCTTCCCCTTTTACCTGGTTAACTCCTGTTCAATCTGTGAGACTGGAATGTTACCTCCTCCTGGAAGTCCTCCCTGATCACCCCCACATCCTTCCTTGGTGCTCCCAGATGGCTCTCGGCATCATGTGGAAATATTTGTTCCCCTCTCCCTTACAGATCAGAGAGTACCTTGGGAACAAGAGCTGGTCTGGTTCAATTCTCATTCCCCAGCTTCTGGAACAAGAGCTGGCCCTGAGTTGGTGCTCAATAAACCTTTGTTGAGTTCTTGGGTAAGTGAATGACGCTGCCCTGAGACATGGATGGCTGGGGTGGAGGTGGTTGAAACCTGGGTGGTGGGAGCCATGGGGCTAAGCAGGAGTGACTGTCTCCATGGTGGGGCTGGGCCCCAAGCTCACCAGTACATAGCAGGTCTGTGCAGATCCATTGAAGCGGCTGTGCGTGCTCCCTGCAGAAGCGTCTCACCCTCAGGGCTGGCTGCAGGCTCCTCCTGGGGAGAAGACCAGCAGGGTCTATGAGTGGCACCCCCAGACTCCCACCCCTGTGGGGATTCTCAGCACCTCTAGGTAGAAGCCACTCAGGTACATCCCCAGTAAAATGGCAACATGGGGCGAGCCAGGCACTGGCCTTGACATCCCACAGGGTTACAGGGCAACCCTAGCCCAGGGCAAACTAAGGAATGGCTCAGGCCGTCCACTCCTTCCGGCCTCTGTCTGTACCAGCTGTGTCTCAGCCTGGAGGAGCACCATTACCCCAGTGATAATCCAGCCTCCAGGGTTTGGGAAGGAACCAACTGAGGCAATAAGGAAGAACCTTACCAACATACAGAAATGCACAAACCACGTTGGCTGCCCACCCTCCCCTATCCCTTTTCTAACTGTCTGAGGAGCAAAGTGGGGAGGCGCCTAGCTCTGCATTTACTCCTGTGGGACATTATCCTCTGAGTCAACAGCACCTCCCAGAGAGAGGAAGTGTGAACAGTCCACTGGCAGCCGTCACACAGCCCCACTGCCTTCCAGACCCGGTGCAAATGCCAATTCTTGTCTGGTCACTTGGTCACTTGTCTGTCCCCGGAGGAAAGGTTGGTACCTGAATACCTCTGAGGTCTCCCTGGCTGAGCACGTAGGAGATGCTCACTCACACTCATTCAGCCACCAGTCACTTTTTAAAGGAAACTCTCTCCCCTCTCTCTGTCCCCACCGCCCACCTCCTAAGTGAGGCATTTTTCCTCAATCTCGTCCCAAGGCAGACAGATGGAATCCGCAACCCCACCCAGCTGAATGCTTGAGACCGAGCAGGACCCTATGGGCCTTCTGGGCACAGAAGCCTATGTCCCCCATTTCTTGTTTGTAGGGAACAGATTCCAGCCTCCATGACCTTCTCTGAGTCCCAAAGGGCAGATTCAAACAGTTGTTCATCAGGGAAGAGAAGGGATGCAGAGACAAGGGAGGAATAGCCAAGAAACAATAGTGCAACCTTGGGGCAGGGTCCTGGGTCCCCTTCAAGGGAAACACATAACAATATCTTTGAGATCTTTACAGAACTAAAACCCAATAGATGGGAAATGTCAGCATTCTTCATTCCAGAAAAGACCACCTGAGCCCAGATTAAAGGAACCAGAGAAGCTCATCAAGAAGATTACCTGAAACAAAATTAAAGGGGTACAGGCCCTGCACACACCCTAGCCTTGTCAGCCACCCCACCCTTGAACCATTGCTATAAAACTCCTCACCACATCCTCCTGGTGGGGACACACAGTTTTCGAGGGCGGGAGCCGGCTGTGGCCCCTTTTCCTGGCAAAGCAATAAAGCTGTGCTTTTCTACTGCACCCAAATCTCTGTCTCCGAGATTCAATTTGGCACCGGTGCGCAGAAGCCAAGTTTTTGGCAACACGCTCTCATCAGCTCAGGATCTGGCCAGTCAGGACCCGCCCCCGCCCCCAGTAGGCCTGGGTGTCAGGAGGCCAAGCTCTAGGTTTGATTTGCTGCCTGTGTGACCTGGGTCCATCTCTCTCCCTCTCTGGGCTTCAGCCTCCCCATGTGCAAGGAGGGGCCTGGCCCAGTCTAGGAGTTTTCAAACTAAGCTTCAAGGTTCCCTGAGGTACCCCAGAGACCGAATGGGGTAGAAGGCAGATGGGGAGTAAAGAGGGGACCAGGCTGGTTCAGGGCCCCCATCCAACTTCAACCAGAGCAGCCCCTCAGTATAAACTGGGGTCCCCCATGGGATTTTCATTCTGGCCGCTTCAAAGCAGATTGGGAACCTCTGGCCCGGCTCACCTCTGAGGCAGAGGTCAGCAGGACTCATCTGTTGGCTAAAACACGTTTACTCCTTTCTTCAGCAAAGGTCCAGCGAGCCTCTTCCCTGTCAAGAGGCCAGGTTGCCCACAGGGGCCTCCTCCCCAGGCCAGCCCACATCCTTCCTGGAGACGACCTACCACCCCGAGGAGGGCTCGGAGCCAGCCTTGCTCCCACTGTCCCTGACTTCTGCAGGCCTTGAGTCACTGTGCCAGGGTCCCGGCCTGCCTCCTAAAGCCACCAGCGATGGACCGGAGCGTGCCTCCCGCCTCACGCGAGAACTGCAGCTGGGGGCCTGGAGTGCAGAGAGACCCGGGCTGCCACCAGTGTGCCCACAGTCGCCTCGGGAGTGGGCTGGGGACTTATCCTTTAATTTCTTTTTTTTTTGGCTGTGTGGCAAGGCATGTGGGATCCTAGTTCCCCAACCAAGGATTGAACCCGCGCCCCCCTCACCCCCCCACCCCCCGCAGTGGAAGCACAGGGTCTTAACCACTGGACGGTCAGGGAAGTCCCTTCCTCCTTATCATTTAGATCACAGCTGAACTGTCACTTCCTGGGTGAGCCCTTCCCTGACCTTTCTGAAGAGGGCAGGCTCTACTGGCACATGATAGGTGTGCACAGATGTTTAATGAGTGATTAAGGGGGCTGCTCTGTGTGGAGGAGGTCAACAGATTGCGGGGGTCCTAAGTGTTCAAGCAAAGAGGTGAGGAGGAGGTGGGGGCGGGAGGAAGATGATGAACAAAGGCCCCTCCCACCAGGAGGGGCCAAACCAGCATGGGGGAGGGGTGTGCCAGGGGCCCCAGTGACAGAGGAGAGCCCCCACTCCCTGCACTCCTGAACCTGTGAGAGGCAAGTCCTTGTAAATCTGGGAGGTCAGGCAGAAACAGGGCAAGGTCTGCCCACTTCACAGAGAAGGAAAGGAAGGAATTATGTATAGCATGTGTATGTATCTGAAAGGCATTTTTCTGAAGACAGGTCTTAGCTTTCATCACTCACTGCAACAGTTTAAAACCATTGCCATTAAGTGATATTTTCATTGTATAACACTCTCCCATCTCTGAAAGATGGAGAGACAATATCCTGAAGACAACATTCCAGTCCCTGGATCCAACTATACCTGAAACCAGTACTACTCCTGGACTTTTCAATTACAGGAGCCAATATAGTCCTTTTTTTTTTTTTCTTTTTTTCTTGCTTTTTTTTTTCTTTGCTGAAGCTCAGTTCATAGGCCTAAACTCATCTGTAAATAAGAGCCCTAATGAAGACTCCATCTCTCTTCACTCCTATCCCCTCTCTTTTTCTTCCCCTTGGGCAGCACCCTACCCTGTCCAAGCGCCAGACTGGCTAAGCTCACATACCCAGGAGCACACATGCAAGGGCACACATGAGCAGGCCCACGTAGGGAAGTACACACACAGGCAGAGCCTGGGAAAGCCCAGCCACCCATGCACACACGCAAACACAGACACACAGCTGCACGGAGAGGGGCAGGCTCCTCTTCCTACTCACATATTTGTGGTCAACAAGTCCCTCTCAGGGAGATGGAAGCGCGTGTTTCCACGGGGACGGGCTGGATCCAACCTGCTTGCGCTTTGGCCTGTCTTCTCATCTCAGTGGAAATTCCTGGGCAGAGTCCAGAGTTGGAGTTGGCTGGGCCTCCCACCTGGCTCTGTGAGCACGGTCTCCAGAGCCCAGGGCCACGGCCTGGGAAGGGACCCCAGCCTTTCTCAGGGAAAAGAGGAAACAGGGCGAGTGGGCCTCACTCTAGGCCTGGCCTGCGGAGCTTCTGCCTCATAACTGAATCTGCCTTCCTCCCCAGTGACGCCTTCCTCTCCACTCTT